TATATGTATGTATACCCGACACTGGTTATCTTCTTTAACTATAGCTTGTTAAAGTTCGTTTGCCTTCTTCAAACACGATTCCAGTAGAGAGCAGACATATAATGCATAGATATAATAACAGGAGCTAATCATACCTCGGTACCTAGGTATTATTAGCTCTTGATAATAGTGAAATACTGAGATAAAAACTGGTTGCACTGACATGCTACAAAAATATATACTTATAACGCCTATAAAGTAAAAACTATCCACCAATATTTTGTCTGCTAATTTTTCGGCACTATGTTACCGTATGGAATACCATGTTAAGTTTTTTCCACGATTATTTTTTGTGGAAATTTCTGCACATTCGACGCACACGTGAAAATGTTAGCGCACGGACAATAAGTGAAACTATTATCTGTTATTTGGAAATTATTTGTTTCTTAAATTAGCGACGCGTCGACATATATGTGATTTCACGACGATGTGTGATATTGTGGTCTAGTATGACACTAAGAATGTATCGCAATAATCCATAGCAGGCTGTCCGAGGATTGGTTATAGATGTCTACACTACGAATATATGACGATCGTAACAAATTAACAAATAAACATATCAGCATGCATGCATTGTCGAAATTAAACAAGCTAATCAGTAGGGTTACGACTACAAGAACACTCTTAACCCTTTCATAAACTATCTCTCTGTTACGTAAATCATCAACACCCCAACCAGATGGGCTGTCGTTTATAGACCGATTGAATCTGAGCAAAGCTAACAGACATTTCAAGCGCGTGGTGTCATCAAACGAGTATGGAAAGAGCCAGGTGATTGTATACATGTAGGAACCCAATGTAATAAAACTCGCATTGCGTGACGTATGAGTGATAGATGCCCACGTGATGCACATAGAATGTCGTTTACGTGCACATTGCCCCTATTGTGTTAATTGCGTTCGCCTCACGTTATGTGTTTACGTTAGCTCTGCAAACTATATAACCGGATGGCCGGAAGAGGACTAAAGAAAAACTATAGATATCGAAAGAGGGGAAGGGGGAGCGCGTGAGATCAAAAGCGATGGGGAGAGACGAAGGAAGCAGACAGAGACTAATACCAAACGTATGAATATGAATGTAATTAAGAGCGAAAGCCCGACGTAAACCGTTAATGACGAAATAAGCGCGTCGGCACAACAAAACAAAAACAACCGACTTTTCGTCTACCCACTGCGCACACGTCATTCGCACGTCAGCACTGGCAAACTAACAACTCAAGCTGTCCATCGCTATTGCGCCTGGCGCGTCGCCGTTAAATGCATTGCCTCATAGTCTTCACGCATCTGATTGATCAATTAGCAGCTCTGATCTTCTGGAAGTTGACCAGAATAAGAAATCGCGAGTGCGCTGCTGCCGGCTTGACGCGTGAGCGTGCGTGCGTGCAGATTCGATAATCGCAAAACAAGAGAATGGATAGCTGGACACACGGCGAGGCGTGTATATAGAACCAAGGCAAGCTTCATATATGCATCTATATATCTATTTTATCTATCTATCTATCTATTTTTCTATCTATATATCTATCTATCTATCTATCTATCTATTTAACCATCCATCCATCCATCCATCCATCCATCCATCCATCCATCCATCCATCCACCCATCCATCCATCCATCCATCCATCCAT